ACAAAAAACATGGCAAATATTCAAAGAGTGAAGCTTGGAAGCCAAGGCCTGGAGGTTAGTTTTTGTGTTCTTGAATTTTGATTTGATATGTTTCGTTGAAATAATCGTTTGATTTGGTGTCTTCTTTATCTTGTGTGAATCATTTTTGGTTTTAAGGTTTCCAAGTTAGGATTTGGGTGTATTGGCCTAACTGGAGTGTACAATGATCCTGTTCCTGAAGAGGTTGGCATATCTATAATCAAATACGCTTTCAGCAAAGGGATCACTTTCTTTGATACTTCAGATGTTTATGGACCACGAATCAATGAAGTTTTGGTCGGAAAGGTTAACTACCTTAACTCTTTTAACATGTCTGTTTCAGTTTAACAGATAACAATCGACAATGTAATGTAACATGAGATTTTGATTAACTCTCAGGCGCTCAGGGACTTGCCTCGAGATCAGATTCAGATTGCCACAAAGTTTGGGATCGTAAAAATGGTTTCTAATAATGTGATAGTGAACGGTTCTCCTGAATACGTTCGATCCTGTTGCGAGGGTAGCCTCCAACGCCTTGGTGTCAGCTACATTGATCTGTATTATCAGCACCGTGTTGACACCTCAGTACCAATTGAGGACACTGTTAGTGTGCCATCAAACACTTTTTGAAATTCTTGATGTGAGGTTGGTTTGGTGGCTCTGTGTTTTATATGTTGTTGGGTTTTTTTTGAATGACAGATGGGTGAGCTGAAAAAGCTGGTCCAAGAGGGAAAGATAAGGTACATAGGATTGTCGGAAGCAAGCCCTGACACAATTAGGAGGGCACATGCTGTTCATCCCATCACTGCTGTGCAAATGGAGTGGTCCCTTTGGACTCGTGAAATTGAGCAAGATATTGTTCCACTTTGCAGGTACTTCTCCATTGTGTCTCCGATGTAAACTGTTATCTGCTTGATGAATTGACTGATTGCTTTCCTACTTCCTGGTCACTATAGAGTTTGAAAGTTTAGATTGCTTAAAGCTCTACCTTACTGGCTGGTTTGCTCTTAAGAAATCACATATTCAAGTTATATGTAAGATTTATTTATGTGAAACTTATGAAAATTAGTCACAGAGGTAACTTTTGTAATTGGAGAGTTCAAAGTCATAGAAACCTCACACTATAACTTCCGTACTTTGTAGTTGGATCCTAATTTTATACTCAATGTTGAAAATCCTAATCAATTAGAAATAAGGTCACTTTAGAATATCTTAGTGGATGCAAATCTCACGTCACAAGTCAGTTTTGTGAAATTGAGTTAGGTTTAAAGTCTAATTCTTAATCTTAGCCTTATACTCACGTATGTATTAGTCAGGTGACGCAATTCAGAAGGTGTTTAGTGTAGTTTAATTCATTGTATCTACAAGTTATTGGAAACTAGATCAGAATTAACAGAAAAATGCACAAATGACTCCTAGGACTTTGGAGAGACTTGGACTCTCCCGTGACAAACTGAATTCCCTCTCAAATCACAGGATAAAATCTTTCCCTTAACCCTTTTTCTAATTTATAAGCAGAGCATGCTTTTCTAATTATCTCAGCCTCCTTCTAACTAATTCTGACTGAGGATACCTATCTGGTTTCTATAGTTTAACTGTGATGTGTATTTCGAAAGAAGTTTAAGCCTAACTCATTTTTACAAAACTGGTTTGTATGGTGAAGATTGTCCTCATTTATATAGCGTAAATTAATCTTTATTTCTAGTTGATGTGGTCAGAAATATAAAAGCTTGTTTATTTTGTAGAGATAAACTGATCAAATAGCTTTGGTTGCTTTTGATTGCAACCTTTAACTTAGTGTACTCACGACCAAGTTATTTCTTTCATTTCCTTCATGAATCTTCATTATATGACATTGGTGGCAACACTTACAGGGAGCTTGGAATTGGAATAGTGCCATATAGTCCCCTTGGCCGTGGGTTCTTTGGTGGCAAGGCTGTCACGGAAAGTATACCTGCAAACAGTTTTCTGGTATGGGCTTAATTTTTGTACTTCTGGTGAAAGTTGGACGTTTTCATTGTTCACCAACATTTCTTTCCGCAGGCATTCCAACCAAGGTTACAAGGGGAGAACTTTGACAAGAACAAAATCATATATTCTAGGGTAGAAAAGTTGGCAGAGAAGCACGGATGTACATCTTCACAACTTGCTCTCGCATGGATTCTTGGTCAAGGAGATGATGTAGTACCCATTCCCGGTGAGTCATGGATCAAATTTGTCAATAGTTGTCGTCAGCATTATATTATATGAAATTGTTTTGAAAATGCATTATGTTAGGAAATTTCTTCACATTCATATTACTTGGATTGGTCTTATAGGAAAATAACTACCCATATTAGAAGAACATCCAATTTCTAAAAGTGAGTTCTAAATAAGCAATGGCTCTGTGGATCTTCTTCAACAATAATGAGATGGGTCTTATAAGAAAATAACTACCTGTATTAGAAGAACAACAAATTTCTAAAAGTGAGTTGTAAACAGGCAATGGGTTTATGAGCCTTCGTCAACAATAATTAGATCTGAGTCCACACGTAAGATATTGATATCACCTGCAACCCAAAACTGAGGCAATAGATATAGGTTTTCTTACTTATGTGTTGCTTAGCATTCTCATGTGCACTTAATGTGAAACTTAGATTCACATTAAGATTTCTAACACTTAAAGACGTGTAGTTTGTGGGGATAACTATCTACATTAAAGACATTAAGTTAAACGCTAAAGAAGAGTTTATTTTATTAATATAAAATGAGTAATAATAATGGTAAAAATTAACACGAATGGGGTTGTAAAAGTATGATGTGATCACTCCCTTTTCAGATTCTGTTCTAGGAATGTTATCTGATTCTGTTTTTGGTCATAGATATCAATAAAAAAAAAATGACTCAGTTTCCTTTACGATATTAGTATCATTATACTACCTCCCGTTTTTTGTTGATTTAATCATCAGAATGGTCCTAAAATTACAATCTCCTGTAAGTTTAGTCCTTAAATAATTGGATAGAATCCATCAATTTCATCTTTGACTATGTCAATTATCGGTCATTTTGGTTTTCTGTCATTGATCCAACAGTGTCATCTTTGACCGTTTTTTCTCTGAACGAAGTTGTCCTTCTTGTCTTTGACATTTCAAATGACATAAAACTACCCAATTTCTTAAGCCAGAAATCAACTGTTCTCATCTTCTATTTTGCCTCTCGTAATTGTTGTCTTTCATTCTTCCCACATAAGATTTGTTTTTACATTGGTCAATAAATCATGAATCATAGGTTTTTCTTTGATCACGTCTGAACTGTTACAATGTTGTTACATTTAAAATATGAATTATCTTTTCCTGTGAATTAACGTTTCTAGAACTTGTCATGTGTTGTATAGGAACAACCAAGATAAAAAATCTTGATAGTAATATCGGTTCATTTGAAGTGAAGCTGAGCAAAGATGATATAGACGAGATAACAGATGCTGTACCAATATCTGAGGTAGCAGGGAATCGCACTACTGATGCATTTTTTAGATGTTCATGGAAGTTTGCCGATACCCCACCAAAACCTTAACTACTTCCTGCTATCCTTGTATGCCTCCCAATGGCAAAACCATGTTGTCTTCTTAATCATGATCATGTTATTAAATCATCAGACTATGTCACATGTATTACGGTTAATCGTTACATCTGAGGTAACCTCTGTTTTTGAGTTTAAATTTTTTATTATGATTTTATCTTAAAAACACCTAAACGGATTGGAGGAAAAAAATAAAATATATTTAAATTGTTATTCGTTTCAACTTTTAAATAATTATTAAAATACTGGATCAGTAGCTATTATCATTAACATCGGCCACAATGAAGGAAAAGGAGTAGCAGTGTCACCGTTTTTATCTATTTTTTGGCATCTGGTTACTCATTTCTCTTTCACAGGTAAACTACCTTAAAATAAAAAGCAAATGCTAGCAAGTCATTTTGAGGTAATATTTAAATAAATTACAATACTTTTTTATCAAAAAGAAAAAAAATATATTATATCTAAAGTGAGTTATTGTTATAACTTATCATATATTTGTGCTCTTGATTTTAATAGATAGCTCTTAAATTAAGACTTTTAATTAATATCCTCGTTTATATATTTTTAAAAGTTCTTATTATGATTTCACTTTATATATGATAATAATGATAAGATATTTTGGTAATGGTAAAATAAAAAAAAATGTAATATTTCATAAAAATAATTAATGATATGCAAGCTAAAATCTTTGAAAGATATAAAATAATGTTTTTTCCTTTAGTAAGTTAGAGTAATAATATTGGATAAAAAATTTTGGTTGGTAATTAGATATTTGTATTGTATTTTGTCCATCAAATTTAAATGCCAAATAGGTATCTAGGGTTGAACTTTTTGTATGCAATTTAAGCAACCTTGGACCATATATATTTTATTCTGACTTTTACTTGCTTCAGTTTCACAAATTTTTCGGTAGTTCCAAAATCTTCCAAATGATATTTTAATTTTCAAGAAAGTGATTTCTTTAAAAAATTTAGTGTTGAACTTAAAAATTTGAAATATTTAAATTATAATTTTTTTATATGATATTTAATTTTATCATTTTTATTTAACATAAAACTTAAACTCACAAGTAAATTAATTTAAAAAATATTCTAGATAGAAACACATCTTAATGTAAGAAACATGTTTGAGAAAAAGGTTTTCATTCAGTATTATTTCTTCTTTCATACAAAGTTCTTCCTCTCTTATTCTTTCTCTTGAGCAACAACAATGATGAAAAGCTACATGACAGCATTGCTGCAGTACAATAATAAAGGGTGGTTTAATATTTTTCCACGAGTGTGGGGTGCACTACCCTCTCATTCTTCATTAAAATTCCTGTCTTTTCCTTATTCTGACAACCTTTTTTTCATTTCAGAAAGCAAACGTTCGAAACAAACACCGTAGTAATTGAAACGGAGAAGCCTATCTATTAAAAAAGAATAAATAAACAAAAGTGATGTAACGAATTTACTGAAGCAGGGTACACTGCGAGCCTGACTCATCAGAAGTTGAAGGTACACAAATACTATTATCTCACTTTCCGCAACAGATTTGAGCTGGTTCTATACTATACCAGGTTCGTGAAAAGCTTTTTGGTTCTTCCAAATTAAGCACGTTGATGTGAGCATCGTGCAAGAACCTTTATACTTGTCTGCTCCCACAAGCAAAGGTGCCAGCTTTACATTCACAAAAGGAAAGAGAAAAGAAGACAGAGACAAGAAACCAGAAAAAAGTTAACTTTCAAGTCAAAGTGTAAAATCAATCATCCATTCCACAACCAGCAAGAACCATCACAGCCTCCAACTCCATTATAGCTTCGTCTTTCTTCAGTTCAGCCACCTCTTCCTCCGCCAGCATCACCGTCACCGATCTTGAAAGCCCTCCCTCCGCGCTAGGCATCACCATGATCAAACCTTCGCTCTCCACATTCCCTACCCGACACGAAACATGAACTGGTTTCTCGTTATTTACAAACCCTGCACCGTATAACAATGACTCCTGATCTTCCTCCTCCATCAAGTGCTCCATGCAGACACAAGTTAACTCACTCCCATACACGCGTTTCCCTTCATTGCTAGCCCCTATTTCTGAAAGCTTTTCCATCTGCCAATGCACTGCACTAACTATGCCTCCTAGTTCCACGTCTTTCACTTTCTGCGAGAGCGTTGAAAAGTGCAAGGCGTTTCCCAAGTACCCGATTGGGAGGGGAGGTTTCAGGAGACTCCTGAAGTCGCTGCAGATGCGCAGAGAGTGAGTTTGGTCCTGAGTTTTTGGAGGTCTGACACTGGCGATACGAGTCCAAAACAGAGCCGCCAGAAAGTCGAATGGGGTGGCGTTGGGGCACGAGTCATGGACTTTGGAGAGGCACTGTTTGATGGTTGAACTCGAAAACTTGAAGGTGGCTGTGGCAAAGTTTGTTGCAGAGGCTGTTTTTGTGGATGACGATGATGACGATGATGCATGGCCGCGAGTAGAAAGTGGAGCGATCAAAGGAGGGTGAGTGATGGGAAAATGGCTGTGAAATTCCGTCCATGATTTGAAGAATGATGCAATGAAAGTTAGATCTGCCATCATGTGACTGCAACTTACTCCTATTGCAACACCTCCTTCTTGAAAGCTGTTTATCTGCAACACCACCCAATAATCTGTTGTTATATCTCATCCATATCAACACAATAATGATCTAAATCTTCGATGGTTGCAAGTAAACATCGTAAATCATTGTTCATTTTTTTATATAAACATAATCAACCAATCAAAAATCAAGTTCAGTATAAACTTTTAAGCAGTAGTTATCATAAAATTCACAAATACATTGCATGTCATAATTTGTGCCTTAATAACACGGCACCGAAATCATTTAGTTAGTTTATGTTACATCATCCATCCAAAAACATCTTAACCAAACAAAATTTGTCCTTTCTTGTCTTGTCTCTCTATTCAAAAATGGGTGATGACCCATTTTCTAATTGTTGTTCTTCGGCTAATTTCTCAGATACACCATATGAATGCAGAGTCCATGATTGATGGGCTAGACCCTTTAATGTCAGAACAACAGAATGTGTAAACAGCAAATAAAATCTAAAAACTTTAACAGAATTATTATCTGTACAACACACACAACCTGAACAAAAGCTTCACCAATTGTGAATAACACTACCTGAATTCGAAAGGGTGACCAAGTGGAGGGATCCTCGGGCATATCATCCCAAGCAACCAGAAGCTTTTCCTCAGAGTAAGAAGCAGATTTGAGCCATTCATGAAGGGTGGCATCCACAGTGGCCTTTATGGTCCTAACGCCCGCATCATTGCACTTCACTTCCCACTCACCATTCGCCCCTCGAACCAACCGGCCCGTCAAAACAGGGTACTGAGTCAGAACCTCCGACAAGGATTCCCTCAAAGGGTCCAAATCAAAGGACTTAAACCAGTTATCCTCGTTCTTGTAGTAGAATATAACGTGCAGACTGTGGCAGCCCATGCCACGGTCCAACGCTGATAGTGTGTGAACCTTACCAGAGCTAACTGGTCTGCTCGACACAACCGTTAGTTTTGAGTTCAGGGTTACCCTCAACTTCGACATGCTTATGTTTCTGCTTGGATTTGCCTTTCCCCACACCACAATGTGCGGTTATATATCAGATGAAAGAGACAGAAAAACAACAACAACACCCAATATTGGTTAAGTACTTCTTCTGTGAAAATTGTTTATATTAGCATGTTGTTATATACATGTATGTATGTGTGTATAAATACAAAAACAATTGGTAATAATGAAGAGTGATAAGCTTCGTGGACAGTTGAGAATTAAATATAGGAAGGTGACGGTTGGTAGTTTTATTTATGTGAAGGACCTCATAGCTGTTTCTCAAACCTTAGCCAATGCTCTCTTTTTTTGTTCACAAACTAAGAGGGGTATTAACTTATTTTCCTGAATTGTTACGTTGTTTTGAAAATACAAATTGTAACAAAATACACATGTAGTGCTATCGTAATTAAGTTTTGGTAATATTGCTTTTCAAAACACTTTTATCTTTTGATTCTTAATGAGAGTTTATTTATTAGTTGTTCGCTGAATATCCTTAAAGCTCTTGCTTAATTGGACCAAAGAAGAGTAATTGAGGAGATCTGTTTAATATGGACTGTTGTATTTCAAATATAGAAGAGTTTTGAAAATACGTTAGTTGACTTATAAGGCATGTCTTTCTACAGTCAGTGTGTATATCACTTCACTACATTATTTTGCATTAAATAGAGATATTTATTTGAGTTTTCACTTTCATATATGGCAAGTGCACTGCTGTTTGAACTTAATTGTCATTTAAGACAAATTTTCAGTTTAAATTAGATCACAGAGATAGGAGTTTTCAAAATAACTAATTATACTGTTTTTAATATAAAATTTTATGAATATTTTTTAATTAATGTGAAACTTTCATTTCATATGAGACTAGGAATATTAGAGATTTTATATCAATTAAAGATATAATGAGTTTTTAAGTATAAATGTACGCAAATTTTATTTCACAGACCAATTTTATGGATGATTTAAGTTAGATTTAAAGTTACTATCAAGATATTAGTTGAATTATTCAAAATTTATTTTAATGAGATTTGTTATTTGTTGTACTTATTCCTTATCCACCAATTTGTTAATATATTATTTTACATTCGAGATATAAATATTTTGACAATCATTATCGAACTATTCTAATTTTATATTGGATATGTAAATATTTCAACATAAAAAAACATATTAAAAATCTAACATTGACTAAAAATAAAATATATAAATAAATACAAACATAAACTTAAAAGTTATTTTTGTTAAATTAAATTTGTCTTAAAATTTATTTTTTTAATATATATCATTGTATTTATTCATAATTTAATTTTATTTAACTCACACTTTATTCATGATAATATTTGGAACAGATAATGATACTTGAATAAGTAATTAAGAAAGTAGTCTGAACTAGTTGGGTTGTTAACATGTCTACCAATATATAGTTAAATTTGAGATATTGTACTTATAACTACTCATTTGAAACGTGTAATACCAGTTGGATAGCAACTTGTAGCTTTGACCAATTACGTAAATGTTGTTATCAATATTAATTAAGTAGTTAGGCTGTCAAATCCTGCATCACCTATTACCCAACCCGTTAATGCATGTTGGTGGAGAAGTTTTAATTAAATTACATGAAAATAAATTAAAACTTATCCGTATTTGGGTGGGCAAAACAAGAATAAAAATATATATAGTGGCCCTTACAACTTTTTAAATTTATTTTCCCATCTTTCCCCAGATAATCTGCATTAATTTTAAAATATATACAGTTTTATGGCTGCAAGAGATCAAATTTAAATTTTTCTTCGTTATATAATTTCATTCATTTGCTTACACAGAAAAATTAAACAAATTTATTGCTTACCTTTTTTACAAACATTTGCCTAGTTACTACCAACACCGACACAACTTCAGTTCCCTTGGGGGCCCAAGAAATTACAAATAGGAAATGGTGTTGGGATTATACACATACTTCTTTAAGAAAAAAATATATTTACTTTTCAAATTCATAGAAACCTAACTTTTATTATTATAATATGACCATTTTAAGATGGAAGTATTGGAAGTATGAGTATTGAAATCAAATTCTCTTTTTAGTGTGAAATGCTCCTTTTGTTGTGAACAGTGAGTATTTAAAAAATAGGCTTAAATAGTTACTTCGTCTTCATATTAAGAAATGAATTTATGTTTAGTACCTGGTTTTAAAAATGAAGATATTGAGTCTCTATATTATGAGAAGTGTATGAATAAGGTCTATTCATTAAGTTCACAGCAACGACGTTAAGTCCATGCTGATGTGGCCATACTTTTTCTCTTCTCTCTTATGTTGTCCATCTTTTTCTCTCTCTTGTTCAGCTTTTTCTTTGATGATTTATTGAACTTGTTCTTTTTTGTAGACCTTATTCATATATTTTTCATAACATAGGGACCAATGTCTTCATTTTTAAAATCGGATACTAAACAGAAATTCACCTCTTAATATGGGAACGAAGTAAGAATTTAAGCGTTAAAAAATATATACATTCTCATATAGGATGTATAAATAGTAATTATTCATAAATGAGTAACAAAATATATATGAACCTACTACTTATATAAAATTATGATTTTCGTTTAACTTTTGTTGGAGATCTAAAAATCATTTCAATCTGATGACTTACCACATGTTTTAAGTACAGTTAGGTTAAGTTAAAAATTATTTTTTAATTATGAGTTAAATTAAACTTTATTCACTTAACTTAAGTTAAAATAGATTTTAAGTTAGATTCAATGTAAATTGATCCATAATTTATTAACATTTTTTTCATCTTTATAATAATATATGATAAAATAAGTTAACATTTTGATTGTAACACTATAAAAGAATGAGTCATGTTAACTCATTTTCATAGTTGTAATTTTTGTATTTTATCTCTGTATCTCTTACCTATGCATATGCTTTATGTGACTAATATTTCATAAATGCCTTTCAATTTTTGCTAAATCTTCCATAAAACTAGCACATCTAACAAACTAGGAATAAAATACATGTTATAAAAACATTACATTGACTCGTGAAAAAGTTAAACAAGTCTCTAACTTTATTAAAAATGTTTTTAAAAGATAAAATATGTTTTTAGTTCATAAATTTATACATAAATTTAAAATTTATTTTAACTAAAATTTAATATATTATAATTTAAATTTTTTTAAAAATAAATAAATATAGTCATTTTAATTCGATGATATTAATTTTTTTATGGATTAAACACTGATTTAGATTGTTATTTTAGTTAGAACATGTTAAATATTGTACACAACTGTTACCTAAAAATATAATCTAACACGTAAAAAAATTTAATGATTAAAACGAATATATTTATTTTTGTTTAAAGTTTGATAATAAAATTATTTAAACATTTATTACAGAAAAAAGTAATATTCAATTTTATGTCAAAATCTAAAAATTAAAAATATATTTAATCTTATAAAAAATGAAACTAATTGTTAACCGTAAATTTAATCAATAATTTTAAGATAAAAATAATATACTCAAACTAAATATAATTTTCTAATGTAATTTTCTCTTATTGAACCTTAATTACCAATCACCAACTCATAGTTTGTTGAATAAAAATTTAAAAAATGGTAGATTTGACAATAAAGTGAGGAATCTAGACCACCTTAATCCTTTATAAACCCTGTTACTTATTTTCAGCTCACATATAAAATAATATTGGGTTAAATATGTTTTTAGTCCCTAAACTATTGGTCGTTTCTGTTTTTCGTCCCTCTTCCAAAGTAAGGTACAATTTAGTCCTCATTCTTTAGAAAAACGTTCGTTTTAGTCCTTAAAATTTTGTTTTTAGTCCTCGTTTTAGTCCTCAAAACGTTTGTTTTTTCGACTAAAACGAACGTTTTTTAAAGATTGAGGACTAAATTGTACCTTACTTTGGAAGAGGGACGAAAACCAGAAATTTTCAATAGTTTAGGGACTAAAAACATATTTAACCCAATAATATTTTATATCACATTTTAATAAAATAAAATAAAATTCGATTAAACCCCCTTTAAAGTACGTTAATAAATTCATTTTAAAACCCTTTAAATTCATAAAGAAAAGTATGTGTATAAAGTAGTTTACATATAAACTAGTGGAAACACATCTATTATTAGCATATGTGCGTCCACTTTTACCTTATTGATTATAAAAATGTAAAAAAAAAATAAAAATAATAATCATTATAATTATTAATAAAATAAAAGTGCTATTAAATTTATAAAAACTATATTTCTAAAAAGTAATTAAAAAATACATACAAAATTTAAAAATTAAGATAATTAATAAAATTATTTATTATTAAAAATAAAATCAATTTTTATATACAATCAAAATAGAACAGTTATAAAAAAAATCAATTTTGTATCTAGTTATTGAAGACTATTTCTTTTGATAAAGTCTTAATTTGATTCACAAACCCAAATTCAATTAAGGAGCTAAAAAATACATTTAGATAAATTTTTCAAATATGTATTTTTTAAAGAATAATAATATATTGAAAATTCAATAAATTTACGTAACGCGTGTTATTTTAATTTTTGCACAATTACAAAAAATTATTTTTTAATAATCACATTACACTTAAAACAGGTTGTAAAGTAATTATATAAGTATGAAAAACATCATTTTATTTTATTTAATTAATTTATCATTTTCAACAGAGAACCAAGTTAAGGGATCATAAGACACGAACCCTTTATCTCCATGCATCAAACCACAATAATTTATGTCAATCACTATGATCTTTTTTTCTTATTTGTCTTCTTTATACATTCACACCAAAAAGTTTGATTACTATTCAATTTTATGAAATTATAATTTTTGGCTTAGATAAAGTACTTCAATTCGACCTAAATAGAAAATTTATCTTAATATTAAATTATATTGAATAATTAAAAATATTAATCAGCGATATATTTTTCTTGTTCACGTTAGTTATGATATTAATAATATTACGTTACAACATTGTTCCTGTTAATGTTAAAGCAGTTACGGTTCTTGTTTATTAAAATATTTATTTGGTGTAAAAAAGAAGGTTTACTCAGGGGAAGTTGACCAGAGAGAAAGGAGATGGTGGCGCGCAAGTTTCAGGTGGTTCACGACGACTCTGATTTTGATATCAATTACGACACAGACGATGGCTTCGAAGTGCGTCTCTTTCTCTGTAGCTTTTCTTTCTCAATTTCAATTTCACTATCTATATCCAATTCATTCCTTCGTTATTCCACTGTTGCAGGTTTTTCAGTTCCAGCTTTATTCCCTCACTTCCGTTCCACCTCATCAGCAAAAGGTTCCGATTCGCTTTTCCAATTCTCAATTCTTCTCCCTTATTTTCGGTTCCTCATTCCTAAACTTTGATTCTCTGCTTACATTGCTCAGATTTTTGGAGCCGAACAAGATACACCAGTCACCACTGATTCTGATCTCATCGCCGTTTCTGACAAACTACGACTCGTCTCGGTCAAGGACACCGAACCGGAACCGGAACCGGAACAGGAACAAAGTTATTCCGATTTGTTGAAATCAGATGAGGAATTGGCCCGACTCTTGCAGGTATCACCTAAGATCATGTGTTCAGAATCATTGATTTTGGAAATGGAAAGCATTTCTATATCTATTTCTTGTTGCAACTTCATTTTCATTTTCATTTTGTGTGTTTGTGCATGTGCTATTATATCTGTACAGGCAGAGGAGGAAGCGCTTTTGTTGCAGCAATATATGTCTAGCGAAAATCCTCGAGAATTTGATAGTAGAGTGCGGTCCTACATTAGTCAAGTTCGAATGGTATTTTTTAGCTTATTCACTTAGTAATAATTTTATCTTCGTTTTGAATGAGGAGAGCAAGATATTTGGTTCATGAAGTTGCATAGGGTGAAGATAGACTAAGAAACTGGTTTCTGTCTGTGTTGTCGTTATGAATATTATTATATCACGATCGATTCCATCACTGATGTATTGATTTGTTTTAATATATTGCAGTATGAAGATCCAACGCGCCAGGAGGCTGCTCGGAAGTCTGTTCCTGTAGAAGAGCTTGAGGAGAAAGCTTTGGTCTCTTTGGCTAAGGTAGGAGAATTTATCTTAGTTTATTGTACGAATATAGAGTTTCGTAGAGGATATCAATCTGTCTTAAGTAAATCCAACTATTTCACTGTAACTCTCTGTACAACTATTTTAGAAATTCATTTACCCTGGAACTGTCTTTTTCTTCATTTTGATAAGAACTGTGTATAAATTGCGATGCTGTTGTCATTTCATAAGCATATGATTTTGTTCATTTTCTTTTTTGTAATCCCGGTGCCTGATAAATATTTTCCAGGAGGGGAACTTCAAGCCATCGAAAATAGAACAAGATCATGCTTTCATGCTGCAGCTGCTTTTCTGGTTCAAAAAATCCTTCAGGTTTAAACTGATTATTATATTTTTTGTTCATCCTTTAATACCAATGGACCAAACGTTTCAATTGCCAATAATTCCTTAAAGACTGAAGAGAGTGGATCACATGTCTCATGCTTCATGTAATTACTGGCGTATTTGTGATTTGAGTCAATTATCATTCGTGCAGTCTTTGTCACCATGATAGACATCAGTTAACCTACACACTGTGTAATATTTTTCCAAATGCATCTGATTATTTTCTTATTTCTTTCTTATTCTTGTATAATAGATGGGTGAATTCACCATCGTGTAACGATTGTGGTAAAGAAACTGTAGGCCAGGGCATGACTTCTGCACTTCCTTCTGAGACACTTTATGGAGCTTCTAGGGTTGAACTCTATCGGTATGTGAAATTACTCTGTTTCAAGGAAAGTGGTTTTTCTAATTATCATACTTTATATTTATTTTAATTTTCTTATGACATTATGCATCTGAACTAACTTTAAACCTTCTTTATGCTACCGAATGGTCTGCAATTTTTACAACCATCAACTTACTAGTTTCTTTAAATCTGAAAATATCATTTTTTCAATGTCAGCAAACTGTTTCCTGTTTGATTTTACTTTGTAGAGATCTTTGCCAGCAAATCCTATTTTTGTGAGTGGAGTTATTCATCCATTACATACTACATATCTATTTACATTTAGGAGATCTGGTGATAACAAACTAGTTTTGTTATGGTTACCTGGATACTGTCCTTTTTCTTGTAAAGCATTTTTGAAGGGTTTTTCTCATGTTCACTAACTTTTTAGCTTCTATTTTCTTTACCTAACTTCTATTTCATGTTATTTGCATTTATCTTTTCACAACCCAGTTGCACCTTTTGCTCCAAACTTACTCGTTTCCCTCGGTACAATGATCCAATGAAGGTATTCAACTCATGTCAAGTTGTTTTATTTATACTTGGCTGACTGCCTATACAACTTCACCATACACATTTACCTTGGATACTGATATTCCCTTGTTAAAATTGCAGCTTGTGGAAACAAGAGAGGGCCGCTGTGGGGAATGGGCCAATTGCTTTACTCTCTATTGTCGAGCTTTTGGCTATGATTCACGTCTGGTTTGTAGTTAGATGAAATTCAGTCTTTTCAATATGCTGGTTTTTCTTGGTTTCTATACTGCAATTGAGTTCAGAATGCATTGGTTTTTTGTATCATTAATCGCTAGATAATGTACATGATGATTCTGATATTGCAAGTGCAGTGCCCAATGTATTGTGTGAAACGTCCACATGACAAAATCTTGTGTTTTGTTAACTGATTTCATTGTAGTTTTACTTACATAATATATGTTTGAGAAAAAGTCGTGCTTGCTATTCTAAATTAATTTGTTATCTGTAAGGAAAAGATAGGCATAGTGTGGACATGTAAATCTTATTCGATTTTGAACTTAGCTTGCATTCTTATCTGGTTCGCCTTACCCTTTACAATAATTTGGTGCTCATGCTCAATGAGTTCTATGGAATGATTGGGCCATTTTTCACTTACTAGGGGAAAAGGGTATTGAGTACTGATGTCCTTACAGTTTTGGTAGTGAATTTTATCCATGGTAAAATTGGAGTTTGTTAATTTTTTTCTTTGCATATATATTTGCAACCTACGGTGTACATGTGCTTGCTTGTCTTGTGAGGAATAGGTTTTTGACACTGATTTTAGTCCATCTCCAGATCTTGGACTTTACGGATCATGTTTGGACAGAGTGCTTCTCTCAATTCTTGGGCAGGTAAAAATAACATTGACCTAAAGTTATCATAATCCTGCTGTTAAAACTATTTCTGGTCTGATGTGTTTGTATGTTCTTACAGATGGATGCATCTTGACCCATGTGAAGGAATCTATGACCAGCCATTATTATATGAAAAAGGGTATTGTTCATCTTTGCAGTACTTTCACTTTAGTGTATTGATTGCTATCATCCATCTAATTGACAGTGAGAAAATTATTGTTCTTGTCCTCATTAAGACTTTCCATCTTGCTTTCATGTTTCCTCACTTTTTAAAATATGTGGCATAGGTGGGGGAAAAAGTTAAATTATGTAATAGCCATAGCAAAAGACGGGGTTTATGATGTCACCAAACGATATACAAGGAAGTGGCATGAGGTAAGTTTTACAATGTATGCACTTGCATGAGAATCAAAATTTGCTGATAACTTATGAATTTTATATATTTTTTTTTTCAAAATTGAGGTTCTGTCTCGCCGTACTATGCTTACAGAGCCTTCTGCATCATCTGTATTACGTAATATAACAGAAGAAATTCGAAGAGGCCTTCCATCTGAACTACTTTCAATTATTCAAGCTCGTGATATGGTAGAAAATGAAGAACTTGAGAGGAGTTTGCATGCTAATGATGACGAGTCATTATCATTACCAGGAAGACGAAGTGGGAATGAGGAATGGCGCAAATCCAGATTAGAGATTGGTTCTGATGAGCTAAGTTCTTCTGCTTGCCCAGTTCGTTTGTGCGTAGATGAACATGTGACAAGGATTTACAATGCATTTCATGCTGTCCTTTATCAATTCGTTAGGGAAGAACTAACAAAGTTAGAAGCTGTTGAAGTACTCAGGATTACTAAAGGAATTCTTTTGGATCTTCGCAATTCCCCTTATAAAAGTAGAAGGACCTCCATTGATTCAGTTCTAAATAAACCAAAATTTCAAAAACTGTTGCCATCTTTTGATGACTTACTTGGTGCACTTTCACTAGAGAAAAAAGTGAATACAGATGGGACAGTTGAAATTGGTTTGGTCGCTGACCCTGTTGTTACTTCTTTAGCATTGCCTGTTGCTCTAGATGTTCTGGATGACATGATTTACAATCTTGACAAGTGTGAAAACTACGGCAAAGATATGTTTCTGCTGCCACTTCCAAAGTTAAATAGAATACATTCGGGTTCGGTGTTGGCAAGTTCGGAGGAGTTGCCTTTTGGGATTGTGAGTTTGGATATAACTGGACATTTTATATGTTTACCATACTCTTTCCTTATAGCATCTATAAAGTTGTCACTATTTTATGAAATTTCAGATAACATCAGCATTTGATGGAATTAGAGTATCTAAATGGGAAGAACCAAATGGAGCAAGAGGTATCGTTAACCAATTAAATAACTTACCACATAAGATTGTGCTTCAAGCTTAAACATATTTTTAGATAATTTATTGAGGTATTGTTGTTTTCACCTAGAAATGGAAAAATGTGATATCTACTCTCCTGTTAGAAAAGAACAAGTTATGGCAAATACATCAAAATATCTTATCTTTGTTGAGTACTTGGCTTGATATCTATCTTTACTAAATTTTCTCAAGAATATTTCCGCTATATCAATTGTATTTTATTAATAGATTGTAAGCAAACCAGTTAGAATTTATAGTTTAAGTTACTAGTGTTTAAATGTTAGAAACTTGACTTTGTGTAGTTAGTTTCTCTGCACTGTTATGCATTTCTATGTTAAAACTCTCATTCTTAGAAGTTTTTCTTTGTTGATTTTTGGTCTTCGATTAATGAAAACTAATTTATAATTATCAAGTGTTAGGCACTATTTAAAGGGCGCAGAAAACGGATACGAGGGACAAAGTAATGAAAAAATATTTAGTGATCCCAAATTTACTAAGTGGAGCCTAGGCATAACATGATGCTAAATTTTACAGTTTGTCGGTGGGGAGGACCTTCCTATAATTCCATTTTATTCCTAATGTGCACACCTTTCTACACGTCCATACACTACTTGCTTGATACTCTGATATAAAAGTATCGGTTTATGTTGACTGTGTAGGTTGTTGGATCGTGTATAGAACATTTGATTGCAAGATGTTTGAGCTTGTAGCATATGATTTGATGTCAGCCAATGATGCACCAGAAAGGGATCCAATGAACTGGTATGAACTTTGGAATATACGTTGAACTACTGTTACATCTTTTCCATTATCTTTACCATTTTTATTAATTTTCGAGTAGCCAAGTTAGTTTGCCTTACCTTGTAGAGTTCTTCAATTGTAATAAGCTTCATCGCTCCAAATTAATATAATGTGTTGCTCCCTCCATATATGATTAACAATGAAAATTTTAAATTTAATTTGTAATCAATTTAAAACATTCGTGACTGTAGTAATAACTTTATTTTTACATTCAACAAAGTATTGATGTTTTTTTAAACAGGTGACATCTTATCAAAATCACATTCTTAAAGACAATATACAAGCTAAACAAGAAAATTGTGTCATATATGTGTGCTGCTTTTGTTCTACCTGTCAGCAACCAAGAAAATTGTGTCATATTTGTGTGCTGCTTTTGTTCCATCTGTCAGCAACCATATATGTTGTTAAAATTATCTTTTAACCTTTTCTATGTTTGGTAATGATTTATCATGTATAAGCTTCAATTAATAAAACATGTACCATGCATTCATTATATCTTGTGATATGTTATGTTCTCAGGATTCTTGAAGGTAGCAGTAATAAGGGGATCAATTGGCAAGTTTTGGACAAGCAAACCTCTCAGTTCTTTGAAGACCGTTTTCAACGTAAAACATACAAAATCAATTGTGCAAGCTTTCCGTGTAATATATTCAGGTAATATATCTTGACACAGTGAAAAAACTTAAACAAAAAAATTGGTAGTGATTTTGATAGGTAACCCCAGTGAATCCATTTTGCTATTTTCTTTACTAAAAAACAATTATGTGTTGTAAATCTATTAGAACATAGTGTTTATGTTTATGCTTATCTGTACAACCCATTATAAATATATAATTCTATTTAAAAAATTATTAAGTTTTTGTGTTTTTTAAATATTTTTACAAATGAATATTTTTCTTCTTTTTTGTTGCATAAAAGGTAAACACAAAGTGTTTAACCTTTTATTTGTCTGATTTGTGTCGGTCTACATATACTGGACTACATATTTAGATAGTAATAATGAATTCTTATCATTTTCCCTTTATCTTAATTATGTTTTTATACTTTGAGATGACCATTTTTTTTTGGGTATTTGGATAAAAAATTATCATATCACTAATTTAGTTTTAATGAATATTCTTTCTAGAGTAAAGTGACTGTTAAGACTAGAAAGGTACATACGTTTGATTGCTCCTGTGTGGATTAGTACGCAGTCCTGGTCTATTTCATATTCTGATGTTTCAAATCATAAATAATTTCTGTACAGGTTTAGGTTTCTGGCAGTCAGAGATGTTCATTCTACTTCCCGGCTGCAAATCGGTAGCATTGACCTCTATGCAAAATCTACATGAAATGCAGTTACCGAAATAATCCCATCACCATGAAAGAATATAATCTAAATGAAAATGCAAACAGAAACCCGAATGGCGTGGGTCTTCATTTAATCTGTACTCATCAAAGTGATGTTATTTATACTGGTCAATGTGGGACATGCTTTCATATTAAATTGTTTTGTTGGTCTGCCTTATAACGTCGGAGGTTTTACTTAATTTTTTGGTAGCTTATGGTAACATTTGTTCTGCCTCCTGTACATTATGAACAGATTGACCTCAAATGTATGTTATAGCATTTGGATTTTGCGCGGAGGGTCGTAATTTATCCACTTATCATTCCTGCAAGTCACGTGAAAAGATCTGATTGATTTTTGTTGTTTACCTGTAATTCGTATTATAGCACCAACTCCAAAATGGGATGGTTTTAAAGCATGACCTATTTTACTTTCATTCTTATCTAATCAATAGTTTCCTGAAAAAGTATGTGGCTTTGAAAAATGGAGACTTAAAAAAGACAGATTTTGTTCTGCATGTACTAGGGAACTACCCGTTGCACAAAATGTAGAACAGATATTTCAGTAAACTTGCAAGCTCGTGCTAAATGTGAATACCTTGGCCTTTGATAGCAACGATAAAAGAGCTAAACGACTTGTACAAATAAAATGTAAAGCAAAAACCTCTTGTTCACATCCCTCTCCCAAGAGCAAACCATTATAAAGGTTTCAAGGATCACACACCCACAAGATTAGTGCAATCTTAATTCACACCAAAATGATAAGCCATGCACTAAACTATTTCTTCTTTATCTTCGAAAGCACGCGCACATGCAGTTCTCTGGCCACATTTGCTTTGTCAACAACAAACTGAAAATCACATCGAGACCCTACTTGAATGTTTTTACTCTCCTTGAAAGCCATCCATCCACTTCCCAAAAAACTACGATCATAATTCGATGAGGAATTGATCATCACCAGCCATGACTTGCCATTCTCATCCCTCAGAGTTATATACCGAAGCAGCTTCATATTCATTTTAAACATTTTTCTAGGAAATTCCTGCAACCCACCAACACCAATTACATCATCTCATCAAGTCGCCAAACTATTTCATAACAAAAACTAAATTGAGCAATTATATATCCCACTTTATCCCAAGCACAAGGTATATCTATTACTTTAACAACTAATTTTATCGAATACTTTCAGTTCTACTACATCAATTTTAAACTCATTGTTGTAACATTCTTAGATATTTTAGACCTACTCCACATAAAATGCACTATTCTGAAAATAGAATTCAGTTACTTAAAAGAGACACTCATTCATTCAATTCAGAGAAGACTAACTACTTATTGTAAATATAGGTAAAAGAATAAAATAACCAACCACTCTTTTTAGTTTATATGGAGTATCAAAACATATTTGAAAATGAGCATTCTCCAATGGAACAAGCTTTGTAAGCGCAGGTTTCTCGTCATTCATTTTATCTTTTCCTTCCTTCATTCTTTTTGATTTGCGCTGAGCTTCTTTGAATGGACATGCACCTATAAACATTATACATTAAGCATGAAGGGTTGAATAACAATGACATGAAATTATGCAAAATGAATACTTGAAAGACTAACCTTCTGATTTCACATTTGTTTTGGGACTTGGGAGTGGACGTTTCCGTACACCATTGTTCTGGATTTCATGACTATGCTCATCAGAATCTTCTTCCAAATCCACAATGGGAACAACTTTTGGAGGTGCAGCCACTTTCCTGCACCCAGTTTTCCCAAATATCTTCACATTAAAAGTAGTTTTACCATCATACTCAAAAACCAAAAAGTCGCAATCTTCTAAATTTTTCTCCTTGGAAAATTCCTGCCACCCACTTTTAAAAACCAAACGACCTTCGATTTTTTCCACCTTAACATCCCAATGTTTTCCATCGTGTTCTACAAGAATGACCTTACATGGTGGGATTCCAGTGAAAAACTTAGTGAAAGATCTTGGTATTTGCTGGAAAAAAAAAACAAGTCCCAGGAGGGTGTCATTGTCAGTAACAAACGATTAACATTTTCAAAGCATAAAAGACCAGACAAAATAAGCAAACATTAAATCTCAGGAGAATGTCACCATCAGTAATGAACTATCAAACATTCTCAAAGCATAAAAGACCAGACAAAATAAGCAAGCACTAAATCCTACTTAAGAGAAAGTGCAAGAATACAAAAAAAAAATCACTTTCCATGATCCTTTTACACTAAAAAAAAACACTTTTTTTCGTATACATGACACTGAGAGGGTTTGAACCTAGACCCGTATAAACTCTGCTAACCCTCCTATAACAAAAAGAGAAAGACTAAAAAGAACTAAAAACAAGAGAAAGAAACACGTACCAACTGGGTAGAACCTCTGTTTGTAAGAAAAACTTTGAAGAACTCACATGGAATTTTATGGCCACAAGATAGCCCCGCACTCGCACTCTCCATGCTGTTCTTCAAGAAAATGCTGAGACGAAACGTCAATATTTATGGCCAGTGCCTCAAATATTTTCTTGTTTTAGATGTTAGGTAAATCTTTACTTACTTCAAATATAAAAAATTTTAAAATTTGTTAAAATGGATATATGTATATATTTTGGGATTGGTATAAAAAATTTGTAAAGAGGTGACTTATTTCGAGATGTATAAAGGTATGTGACATATTTTTACATTATGTTTTATTTTTTAAGAAATGAAAAAGTAAAAATAGAGAAGGATAATATTAAATAAATATAAAAAAATTAGTGTGTTAAAAATTATTTTTTTTACTGAGATTGTTAAATTAAAAACGAAGAATTTAAATGATGAGTAAATATATATTTAGAATAACTTAATTAATTAGTTAATCCTCGTATTATATGTTTGATTTCAGTTATACGATAGAAAAATATTATATCTTCAAAAACGCTGAAGCCCAGCCCCATCTTAATGGTTAAAATTTAATATAAGCAGTTTTTTATAACTTTTATGTTTTATTCGATAGATATTTTAATTATTTTATAACTTGTAACAATTGTTTTTTAATTTATAACAGGAAAATAAGTTAAAAAATATATATTACAGGTATTCTGTTAAAATTCCTCTTATAATACACAATAAATTATGATAGGATCAAAGTATTATAAAATTAGGTTTATCTCATATATATATATATATATATATATATATATATATATATATATAAGCTCTTTTTTTTCATTGATATAATTTAGCAAAGTGTATTAAATTTTAGGTGACAAAAAAGTCTTCATTCATAAAATAACAATATATTTTAAACATGAGATTATTTTAATAATTTTTATTTTTAATTTAAAATAAAAAATTATTGTGAAAGGATGAAAATGAGAGAGAAAAAATTGGATAAATAAAAAAGATGGATTAAAATTAGGTGAAATGGTGAGTTAAGATTAGGAGAATGTTTCTGATTTTTTTTTAAATTAAAAATAAAAATTTTTAAAATAACTTAATATTTAAAATATTTTTTTTCTACTAAAACTTGATATATTCTGCTAACATGTATCAATTAAAAAAAATTATATAAGTTAATAAACATATATATATATATACATATATATAT